AGGTGCGTTTGTAGGAGGCTTAAAGGCTGAGTTGGCTGCAGAAGTACGGTTGGACCAGCCACGGTCGACAAGGGCTGGCATGGAAGCGGCGCGACTGCACGAGGATCATCTCGCGGCAGTGCGCAAGGCCCGACCAAGCGAGGGACGCACGGATGTTCGGCGCGCGAGCGTCGCGGTCGACTATACGCCCCCACGGACCGAGGTCAAGCCAACGGTCGGCGATGGTACACGCAGCACTAGCAACTACCGGCGGCTGACAGAGGACGAGATACAAAGGCGAAGAGAAAAAGGCTTGTGCTTTACTTGCAACGAGAAATTTACGCCAGGCCACAAGTGCAAAGGTAAAGAAATTTTTGTGTTGGAAATTGAGGATGAACGAGAAGCAGAAAAACTGCAGGAAGAGTCTTGGTTGCATATGGTGAAGTGCAACAAGCGTGGGCCTAGGATGATTAGATTCACGGTCGAGGTAAAAGATATGTTGTTGGAAGTTCTGGTGGATAGTGGGTCAAGCTTAAATTTCATCGACGAAAGGATAGCCCAAAAGCTGAAGCTAGAATCCACAAAAGTCAAGAAGTTTGGTGTGAAGGTAGCCAACGGACACGAGCTACAAGGAAGTTAACTATTCAAAAAGGTCCCGATAATGGCACAGGATCACGAGCTGGAGATTGATCTTTATGCCTTACCACTTAAGGCAACCGATATTGTGCTCGGAGTACAGTGGCTGGAAACGCTTGGACCAATTACAACTGACTATAAGCGAGGAAAGATGGAGTTTGGACGACCAGGGAAGCGTATCAAGTTGAGGACTGAGGATCAAGGTGAATTCCCCGTTGAAGAAGAAGATAGTGACGGGGATGTGCTGAACTTTCTCATCCTTGGGGACAAGGAATGTCTTGAAGAGGAGGGGAATGATATGGATGTGGTTGTCAAGGACGAAGGATGGTCGGGGGTGATCGAGGGTCGAATGGGCAAGAGGCGCGCATCAGGCGGTGATGCGCGAGGATGGGTGGCCAGCACACGGGTGTACGCGGGTGAACGCGGGTGCGCGGTAGGCGAGCAGGCCACGGGCAATGGGAGGTACGCGCGGGCAGTGAGCGACGGGCGAGCTGGGCGCGCGGGTGACGGTCACGCGGTCGGCGTCCGAATCCGCGCAGGCATAGGAGTACGGGGCAGCGGGAAGCACGCACGCGAGAGGGTCGAGGGGGACTGGGCGC